AGAGGAGAGAACGACAAGTACAATAAGCACCCTATCCATCCCCCATAGATGCTTTAGTTCCTGGGCAAGTTCTGTGTACTTACTGATTTTTTCACTGCATATGTTTATACACTGTTTGGAACAGATATGTCTATAATGTATATGATTTTATTGTGTTTGTCAATGAGTTTGATGTCTTGTCTGTTGTGGTAAATTGTTTTATCTGTGATTATGGCTTTGTCGTAGTACATTTTGTGCGTGTTGTTTTCCAATACCGTCTGTTGACATATTTGTAGTATGGTTCGTGGATGTCTAATAATTTGTGTTTTTTTTGCAAACTCTTGATGTATTTGCTACTTGATTCTGTCTATGTAAATTATCTGTCTGTGCCAAGAGATTGCAACAAGAAGTGATATGATGTATGGTTTCTGGCATGATGTGACATTTTCTGCATGTATTATTTGTGATTGTTGTATCTTTGAGTATGTGTTTTCTGTAGTTTTTAGTATTTATGTCCTATATGGCAATCATAAATCTTTCCGTCTCTCCAAAGAGGCATCCCCGAGCTAACCAGCTGTTTGACGCAGTTTTGTCAACAAAATCCTGGGGCAGGTCATAGGGATGTCTGCCATGGAGTACCTTTCACACCCATGATTGGGTGTGAAAGGTACTTAATGGTGTCTATGCTATTTATATGTTGTGTCGTGTCCATATGTTGTGAATGTAAATTTAATAGTGTATTATTTGAGTCTGCTAGAATTACTGCTTTATGTAACTGTGATGTTTCTTGTTTTTTGTAGAAAAACTCTTGCAATGTCTGTATTTGTTTGTAGTGTAGGTTAACTATGTTGATCAGGCCATGTCCGCCATTTTTAGGTGAAAGGGTTAATCTTTCTATGGCAGATTTAGGATGATGATGTTCATGCTTAGTAAGTGTTCTTGTTTTCATTTTGAGTTGCTCAAGATCTGTGTGAGTCCAATATATAACTCCAAAAGAATAAGTGAGTACTGGGACGTCATATGTGTTTTATTGCTTTAACATCATCTTATTTCATTAGTGAATGAAATAGAGGCATAAGAAACACAACAACTGTGATAAAAATATATAAATAAAGCCTGAAATTAATAGAATCATGTAAAAGTTCACGTCACACCTTTCACCTTGTGACGGCACACTGGTTGCAGAATACTGGTCTAGATACAGAGCAAATGAGCATTGCAGTTGTTTCCTCTTGAATCTTTTCATGCACACCAGGACCTCACATTTATCATAATTGATAGGGAGTTTGTTTCTCTCACTCCAGCCACTAACTATGTTGAGGATCTCATTGGCTTTCCTTTGTAAAGTGTCACAATTTTGATGTGCCAGCATTGTTAATGTGTCATCTGCAAAACCTTGAGTCTTGACATCCAGGTCCGACTCAATGCTGTTAAGCAGATCGTCATAGACCAGATTCCACAGCGTTCAAGCCATACTGCCTAGCAACATCAGACATCTTGTGCCCACTTTCTACCTTGGCTATTATCTCTTACTTGGTTTCTACGGCGAGCTTCTTGACACTCCTCTTTTTAGGCACCATAATATTATCAGTTTCTTTTTTAACTCCTTGCGTACACAGACATTTTTGATATTAATGTAATTAAACATTAAAAAATACTTAAAACTGAAAAAAACGAAAGAAATGTGTTAATTTTGAAGAAACAGATTCAAATTTTATTTTCCTTTGTCTCGCCTTTCTGTGAAATCTGATGCCAATGAGTCATTGTTTACACAACTGGATGACCTTGAACACAGCTGGAGTTGGATTTCCTGGGACATTCTCAGAAATCGCGGGAGGGGATGGGTTTATAGTAGGGTGAATACTAGCTGGCCGTATATTTTAAAATATTTTTTAAAAAATTAAAATTTTTATTGCGATTTCAGACTTAATTAAACATATATATAATAAAATCTATTAATTNATTTTTTATTATTAATAAATTTATTTTATCCTTGCATTTTCAACTGTATTTCAATATAACAAAATTTCAGTGTAACGAAAATATTTCAATGATTCCCTCAATTTCATTATACCAACATTTCACTGTATTTACACCAAACAATCTTGATTTGGTGTATATAGTTTTAATGATTTTCAGTCTTTAATTTTTCTTCACTTTATGAACATTTTAAACAGGTCAACAAGATCAACCTTTTAAAACTACTTACAAAAAACTTAATATACTCAAATAAAATAATTTTATTTTCTCATTTCATTTTCATTAACAACCTTCTAAAATATTAATCCTGCATTTTAAATTTAGAAGTCATACCTTTTGTATCTCTTCCATCACAGAATTTTTATAAGAGAAAACTAACATTTTTGGGTGTTTAGTAGCCTGCATGAGGCTATAGAACTTTTTATTAAAATTTTTTTTTGAATATTTGGAAGCTCATTTGAATTTTGTAATAAGTTCTATAAACTGGTGAGAGCCACTAAAGCAGCTGAAGACATTAATCAAATAAAAATTGTGCTGGAAGAGGCACAAAAAGTATTATTTATTTATTATAAACCAGTGTTTTTCAACCTTCTTGAATACGTGACCCCTTTACAAGTTAAAAAAATTCTGGCGACCCCCAGGGCCATATTAAAACTGTATAAGTGATTTTAAAAACTTCGTATTTAACTTTCTTGCTGTTGAGACCTAAATATCAATCGAAAAACCAATTGTACTTAAAAATAAAAACGCAAAGCCTTCTCACTGAAATTGTAGTTTTATTTATTGTAGTGTAGGACCTACAAACACTTGTCTTTTTCTTTTACCTGCGACCCCCGTGTAAGGCTTTGCGACCCCCCTGGGGTCGCGACCCACAGGTTGAAAAACACTGTTATAAACCATTTCAGCTTTTGGGAAGTTTACATCATTACATTTTTAACAGTTATATGAATAGCCAGGATTTTTTTTTTTTTGCAAATTTTAAGGCGTTATTATTGAAAAAGAATTATCATTACAAATTGATGGCGGGTGTAAACCACAAATCCTTTTTACCTAAACATCCTAATCAAGTCTCAATTCAACAAGCAATATGTACTTTTTTAAATTCTTTTCAATAAGTCATTTCATTTTTCTTTTCCCAACCATTAATATTCCAATATGATATTTTCAAAAATTGACCCTCTTCTCAGGTCTTCCATTTATCTGTAAAATATCATTTGATTGATTGTCAGTATCACACATTCACTGATTTAGCAATCATTTCATTACATTCTCCCTTTAATAATTAAGTTTCTTTAAAAAAAAATCTGCTTTTCCCAGATTTATGTCTTCTAGCTCTTGTTTCAACTCTTTTCAACGTTTTTTCTATAGTTTTTCCTTTATTTTAACCTTAAACCACCAATCTTGCTTTTCTAACTTATTCTGATTTTTCCTCCAACTTTTCAATATCTTTTTTCTTATTCTACAATGAAATATATGATGCTTAACAGTACAGTACTTACTTCTCTACTACCTTTACCTGTTATTATTCAAGTTTCTTGCTGAATAGTTCTATCCAAAATATTTTTAACAGGTTCTCAGTAAATTTTTTAACTTCAGTTTTATCAAACAATTTTTATATTAAAGCAAATTATTTTCTCTCCATTTATTTCCCACTTTTTGTTAACATTTTCTTATTCTTTCATCATCCTGATATCTTACTGGACTGTTCAATCTTAACAATTCTCTTGTGTAATTTATTGAACACTTCAACTACATTTTTTTTTTTTTTTTTTAAATATCTAATTTTTGTTCAGTCTTATTCTATATTGATTGTCTTCTATCATTTATCATAATTTTCATAAATTATATCATTTACTGGGCTGCAATTTGAAAAAATTGTAGATCTATAAATTTCCACTGTCATCCATCTGTCTATTCCTTAATCTTGAGAATGGTGTTAGATGAAAGTCAAGACCAGATATGGAAAGCTTGGGGCAGGTGGCTCCAATTAACTATTACTAACTTCCATTCTCTGGAAGTAATTTGATTTCAATTTAAAAGTTTTCCCTGAATGGAGTTACACAGCTGACTGGCATAACTGTTGTTATCAGGAAAAGTATGATGTACAGGGACAAGACACTATGAATTTGAGAGTGAATACATATATTTTAAATTAAAAATAAATTAAGAATATGATTAAAAATGCAACCCTGCATTGTTATGATGGTTCAATAATTTTTGCTTGTTCTACATTCATTTCCTCAGCTTTATCAATTTTGGTAACATTCCCAATAGTATATGCCCTACTTCTTTTATCTGGAGGAGTTTTGTGTAATTTAAACTTTCTTTGAAATGTCTTTCATTTTTCTATTGCTGAACTTTTTCTTTTTTCCTATATTTGACTTCATAAGTTTCACAAATAAGCTTTCCACTTATTTGTGAGACATAAATTGTCAGCATGGCTAATAGCATATGCAATACCCTCCAGTTATTTTTCTTTTGGCTCTGACATTGTATATACAGTGCATTGTTGATGTTTATAAACAAAAAATCCAAGTAAAGCTGATTCAATTTGCTAATTTTTTAAATTAAAACAAGTGCTTTAGAATCAGTAGAAATTATAAAAGAGAAATCAATTTTATCTTAAAATTACCGAAAGAAAATATGTTCATTTACTGTATTTTTAATGAATTAAAAAATAAAATCAAATAGGAAATTTTATTTTTCTTTAAATTTTAACAAATGCTGCAAAGTTACAAAACTTTCCTGAACTCTATTGTTTTATATTAAATGAATTTAAGAATTAATTTTTTTTTTAAATTTTATAACAATTATATTTGTTATAACTAAGATATAAAATTGTAAAATTAGCTTTTTTTTTAATATGGAACATTAATAGGATTAATATATCAAAAAATGTTTAAATAAATTTTTCATGAACATTAGAATCAAAAACTTAAAAAAAATTATGAAGATAGTATGCCATTTATTAATTTGTATTTTAATTTCTGGCCTGATGGTGATGTGTTCTATATAATATATTTATTAAATAAGTATATTTTCTTTCAGAAATACAAGGAAAACTTGCTGAAGAATATGTTCTTTTTCATTCTAATAGGTTTGTTATAGATGTTTTTATTTTAAAATAATTATTTATGTAAAAATATGAAATTTCATAATAAGTCTTCCATCTTAGTTGTCAGCATCATAGATACTAGGGTTGTAGAACAGTATAGAAATGCATCAACTCTGATTCCTTTATTTTATACAGTATATTAAATAGGATATGAATAATATATGTATTCATATCAATTGAATACAACATACTGTGTCAATGTGAATTATAAGACTATTTTTTAGAACCATAACCTGTTAAAGTTTTACTCTAAAAGCTATAGCTTTGCTATTATGGATTTTTTATTTTATTTATTAAAAATGGTACAAACATTCCTCTGGTAACATTTATGTTAGGATTGAATGAGATCTCTTGGTCTTATAACTATTCATATTCTCAAAATGAGACTTATGTGATCTGAGATTCAACTAATCTTAACTGATTCACATCTCAAGTCAAAGAATTTTGTTAGGATTGACATGATTAGTCAAAACAGATCTTGAGGTTTTGCCATATAATTGCCATGTGAAAAGGAATAAGCATGTGCTTTGTTTAGTAACCCTAACTGTTCTAGCATGGTAATTTTAGCAACTTTAATGTGGGAAAGAAAAATTTAACTGTTATAAAGAATTATTATTAGAACCGATTCAAAAGTACAAGAATGTCATAGAAAACGAACAAAAATAGCGAGGTTGAGACCGAAGTTTTAAACTCAAAAATGTGTACGTCGGACGTTCAGCATGCTTTCCTGTAAGCCTAGAAGTTTGACAATGGTGTTTGGAAAGTCAGTGGAATCATGCTCGACATTCCAAATGCCATTGTGATCAGAAAATATTTAAAATAAATCACTGAAATTTAATTTTAGAAACTAATTGAATTTAATAGTTTTAATAATTGCAATTATTTAATTTTAAGTTTTTTTTTCTTAGTGTAAATGAAGGATTTCAAAATTTGTATTTTTAAAATTTAGGATATGTGTAATAACTTTAGCTCCAATGCATCCTATTCTGACTGAAAAGAAAACAGTTACTTCGGTTGATTTTAAAATTGGAGAAGTAAGTCGTCTTCAAAATCAAGTATCAGGGAAATGGAAAAGGGTGAGTTTAATAGTTCATTCTTGATTATTATTAAGTTATTGACTTCGTTTCTGTTGTTTTCATACTTTAAGCAATTTTGACAAGTTCTAAGATTATGTCTTCTTAGACTTTCTGTAAAGAAAATTGTTCATATTTTTAAAAAAGTTTAAAATTTAGTTTATTAAAGATTTATTAATTAATATATTCTTATTTATTTTAATTTTTATATAAAAGGGTGGACAACAATTAAAGCAACATTCACAATTATGTGAAATCCATTGTAATGACAACTCGGTCTATGCTGTTTATAGTTGTGTTTATGGAAGACTTGTTGAAGTAAATGAAAACTTGCTTGAGAAACCTCATTTGTTAACAGAAAAGGTAAATTTTTGAATTTCTTCATTTATTTTATTCTAAAACTAATTTCATAATAAATTATGATTATTCCAATTATTATTATTATTATTCCAGACTTGGTCTGAAGGATACATTGCTATTGTCTTGCCTCCTCTAGGAAGCAGTGATGTACAAAAAAATGCTTTAAAATAAAAGCTCAAATTTTATTTCAAAATTTTTAATCTATATTATTATTAAGACAACAAGGGATTGAACACAGATTTTTGAATTCAGAAATATTAGCTTAAGAATATAATTCCAAGCATTTATTTTCATGGACTAATTGCTTTAAACTGGTGAAGTGTTTGTTGTTTCACTAGTATGCCCGAAAGAAAATTAAATTAATAATAATTTTGGTTAAGAAAAATCTCGTACCAAATACACACAAATTGAAATAACTAAATACAGTGGGTGATTGCTTAATGAACATAATCCGTTCCAAGACTTTGTTCGTTAACCGATTATCAATTTACCATAGGTTTTTATGGGAATTTGATTAATTTGTTCCGGAGACTCCAAAAAATAAAAAAATATATACTTTTTTACTACGTTTATTTATATGTAATAGTAAAAATACATATATATGCAGTCTTGCATTTTTATTAGTCATGTTTTTTCCATTTGTGGGGGTTAAAGAATCTGTCCAATGTCAATTCTTTTCTCTTTTCTTCAGGATTTTTTGGACATAATTAATAGTATTGTAATTGTAGAGATTCCCAAACCCATTAACCTTATTCTGGTTTGGATGCCACTTGGATGATCATTGTTCTGACATTCTCCCTCTTCAAAAGATCTTTAGTAGCAGGTGTTGACATTGGGTCCTCTTTCTTTTCATCTTCCTCTTTTTTAAAAGAAAACTCATCTCGCTGAGTTTCTTGGTATTCTTCATTTGAGATTTCTTGGAGTTCTTCTGTCATCAGATCAGTTTTAGGTTCCATTATGAGCTCTAAAATGCTCTTTATTTCTCAGATGTGATTTTCATTACTCCATTAGCAGCTTGAGACTTCTTGATATATCTTTCATAGCTAAGATTGTGTCTACTGTAGACCTGTTCAAGCCATACTTACTTACAGGTAAAGATAGTTGGCTGTCCTATGGGACTTAGCCAGTGAGTTAAAAGACAGAAGGAGAAAGGTAAGGGTACAGGTAGGGGAGGAAGGAATGGGGTGGGGAGAGAGGTGGAATGTGTATGGGAAGAGTGGAAGGAAAGGAGATCCCAAATCTGACAAGCATCATAAGGTATTAAATACAAGGTATTAAATACAGTGTGCCTTTTCAGCAAGATGAAACAAAATACAATCAATGATACAAAACATTATGCACCAGTGGTATATAACAACAGACCGACACTGACACTACACAATTTCCAGCAACCCTTAAGCATTAACCCTTTTAAACCGATATCCCGAGTTAACCTGGGCAGGTTACATAGCGTTACATAAAACTCGGTCCTTTCAGCCCCCCAAAAAAATTTTTGTTTTTTTATTGAATTTTTTGAATGTTTTTAAAGTCTCCAAATTTTTTTCCTGCGCGAAAAATTTTTATCGCGATTTTAATTAGTCTTTGATAAGGCTCGATTAAGGCTTAACTGTTTTTTAATGGGATTTTTTTATCAAATTTAATTAATCGTTCTAAAGTTGTAGTGCACGGATTTTCCTTCGGTAAAGTTATTTAAAGCTTGTTTCTGATGTCAAAAACAACCTCCAATAGTTTTTTTAATTTTTTTAATTAATAGATTTTATTATATATACGTTTAATTAAGTCGGAGGGTTCAGAAATCGCAATAAAAATTTTAATTTTTTAAAAATATACGGCCAACTAGTATTCACCCTACTATAAACCCATTGCTGCCTGAGACTTCTATGAGAATGTCCTGGAAAATCCAACTCCAACTGTGTAAACAATGACTCATCAGTGTCAAATTTCATAGAAAGGTGAGACAATGGAAAATAAAGTTTGAAGCTTTTTCTTGAAAATTAACGCATTTCTTTCGTTTTTTTTTTTTCAGTTTTAAGTATTTTTTATGTTTAATTAAATTAATAT